ATATAATAATCTAGGTAGAATTGTCATTTTGACATATGAACTTCTAGTTCATGAACATCTATAATTTTCCATTTTCTTCTATTTCTTAAATGACATAGTTTTTGAAATATAGATGTCTTACATCTTTTGCTGAATTGAATCTCTGGTACTTGATGTTTTGGACAGTATTTTAAATAAAAGAGACCCTTTGATTGCTTTCTCCTCTAGTTCATTATTTGCATATAGAATGCAATGCATTTTTGTATGTTGACTCTGTAGCCGGTCATTTTTCTGTACTGGGTCATTGTTTCTAGGAGCCTGTTAGGGAACTATTTAGGGTGTTGTATGTACATTATCATACCTTCTTCAAATAGTGTTAGCTTGACTTATTCTTTTCTAATTTATATATTTTTGAGTTCTTCATCTTGCCTAATTTCTGTTGGTAGGACTTCCAATACTATATTGCATAAAGTGGAAAGAGTGCATAAAGAATGCATATTGCATATGAGTACATCCTTGTCTTGAGTCTGATATCCAAGAAATACTTTCGGTTTCACCATTAAGAATGAATCACAATATGTATTTATAATAGATGACCATTACTATCTTGAGGAACGTCCTTCCTCTTCTATTTTGTTGAGGGTTCTTATCATGCGTGGAACTTGGATCTAGTAAAAGCTTTCTATGTATCAACTGATATACACTTTCATATACTTCATACTGTGTTTCTGATGTTAGGTAGCATTTACTTTCTCATATGTCATATCACATGATAACTTTACTGACATGTGATTTTATGGAGAAGGTAGCTGGATAATGAGATGTTTCGTGGATTTTCCTATGGACACTACCCATACCAGTACCACAGATTCAACATTCAATAGCAACAAGAGCAAAGTTTTAAAAATTAGTACGGTGTAAAAATAGCCAGGTATAGAATCACAAATCTCATATGATGCAGACTGAGAATGCATACACCTAAAGCCATATTTATCTTCTAAACATATATGCAAATGAAAGAATAAATTTAGAAATATACATGGGAATTGTTCCATATAAATACACAAGAAACCAGAGCATGTTTTTGTTGTTGTTGTCTTAAATCAAGCTTCAATTCTATTTCCACTTTTATCTAAATTGCAACTAATTCCATATTTTCCATAAGTTGAATGTTAAAAAAATCCTGAGTTTTTTGCCCAGAAGAGTATAACCTAACAGCCTGAATAATATGAACGGATAAACCATAGCATTCTCCTCTTGTTTGCAAGGAGACTGCTTCTCTACCCATAGATCTGTATGTGTGCTAAGTGTTTGTGGTCCTGCTTGGTTTCTGGTATGTCTATGGGATAGTGGAAAAGAAGAAATCTGAGAACCAACTCAGAGGTTATTTTACACTATTATGAATATCCATGGACTCAAAAATATACATTTTGTTAGTCAGGATTTATTGCAGTTATATGAATGATCCCAAAATAGTCGACTATTGGATACAAAGTATAAATGGATTTTAAGGATTCCCTTCACTGACTGTTTTTCTATTTCTTAACATAAGAAGCGCATCTTTTAGCTTAATGAAATTTTACCAAATGGTTAGTCCATAATTGGTTATATTATCTCAATATTGAAATGGAGAAGATAATTGAAGTTTCTAAAATTTGCAATTATTACAAGCACATAAAATATCTCATAATGATTTCATTATTCTTTTTATAAGCTTTTCATTGTGCATTTGATATTTATCTTTTATATGTAGACTTAATCCATTTTCTCAGATCCAAATGTCTCTTTAATAACTGATATTCTCTAAAGAAAGTTGCAAGTCTGTCATACACCAAGAATAAGCTATATCTATCTTTAAAAAAGAAGACTGGTTTTTTCAAATAAAAAAAATTCTATCTTAAATAGTTTTACAGATTTTTGTATACTTCTGTTACATTTCCTCTCCTTTAAAAAAATCGCACTACGTTGGAATATTCCTAATCATTGTAATTATAAAAAGACTCGATTGAAATATCACTCTGATTGTGATAAGGCTTTATTCTGTGACTTATTTTAAAGTATTAATGCACAATTTTCCATGTGTCTGTTTTTTTCACTTTGTCTTTGTACTTTTTAGTAGTTGAAATCCATACTTGCTGCTGGTAGCACCTAGAGGTGGTATGAACTCAATTAGAGAGCCACAGGAAGCATTGCAAATGATTTTAAAAGAAGACTTAAAAAGTCATGCTTTCAACATAACACTGAACACCCCTTCCTCCTCCTTCAGTGTTATCCCCAGGAAAATGTCTGTTGATACAGAGAGATTGTTCTTACTATAAATCCCAGTGTCTGATATGGAGAGGGGGAGAACAAGAGAGTTTACATATCCATGCATATAGAACCATTTGTTTGCCAGGCTTAATAGTCTTTCTCTTTATAGTATCAAACTTTACAAGGAAAATATAACTAGTATTTGAATATTGAAAACAGACTTCCATGGATCCACTGGAGCTCAAGGTCAACTTGGAAAGTATTACTGAAAGTATTTAAATATTAGAAATATCAAAAAATATTAGAAGTACCAAGAACTAACTAAATATAAAGCTGCAACAGAAACTGTGCAGAGTAAAGCAGTAGAGAGAAGACTGCAATAGAAAGACATACCACAGAACAGAATGAGCTAAAGTAAGCTTGAAAATAGCAACAAAATAGACTTCCCAAGGCTATATGGGAAGGAACAAATATGAAGATATAGTAATGCAATAGAAAAGAGAGGCAAGCAGAATCTATTAATACAGTCAGATGTTGGTCCTTAAACTACCTAATAAAATAGATGATCTATTGAAACTTGGACAGAATTTTAAAAGGCCTAGGTGAACTCTATCAGAAACAGAAAAATGTTATAACCACAGATAAAACAGAAAATTTTAAACTAGTAAGAAAATACTCTGAATTACATCTTGCCCCAAATTGCCTTCAATTCACTACTTTTCATACTCAATACATACTCAATAATCTCATAACATGTGTAACAACAATTAACTCAAAATTAAATAGAAAACACAGCAATCACATACCTAATAAAGATCGTATGCTGATAGTTAAATTTTGACTCAACAGGAAAATCCAAATTCTTCTAATAGTAAACTCTACCAAACTGTATCAGGTCACAGATGAGTTCAGTATTAACAAAGCATTAATTCTACATAATATTTTTAGTGTAAAAAAAGACTCAAGGGACATTGCTTACAGTCAGATGGAAGTGAAGTGGGAACTTCATTTACTGAGAGCAATAAATATCTTCAAGTTTTACTTGCTCTTTGTCCCCCCTCTCTCTAAGACTGGGTTCAGAGCTGTCCAGATACAGAGAAACTGAAAACTATTCCTCCAGTTCTTCCTCATATCAACCCAGGACGCACTAAAATGGCTGCACGTACATATCAGTGCCAACCATTATAAAGCAGAAGAACTTTATGTTAAAGAGAAAATACAAGACAACTTATTACTGCTCATGGATGTTGTCTGTGTTTTAACTCTTTGAAGAAATAAATAAATCTACTCTTCCCCTCCACACTTACTAATAAGTCATATGCTGGACTCCTTATTTCATGCTCACTGAGTTTTATCTTTTAGGGCCTTTCACATTATATTTACTTTTAAGCTCAAGCTATAGTTAGATGGACATTTCTTTTCTAATTTATCCCCAGGGATTTTCTATTTGCCACAAAATTGCCTTGAGATAGAGTTCATGCTGCCAAACGAGGCAGAGAGGCAATTACCATAATTGCCTAGACTCCAAATTCTAGTCCAAAGGAGAGTTTGAGCAGAATTGTGATGAGTAACTATCATCCTGCATGTTCTGTGTGACATACAGGTTAAAAGGACCGAGCTCTGGGGACAGCATCCACATCTTAGGATATGTCCTCTCACCATGCCCTTTGTTTATATGCATGTACTTGCAGTGTCTACTGGGGCAGGTGCATACAAGTTCTGGAAATGTATATTTATCCTTCCAACACTAATTCATCAGCTCCAGATACCATAGGAGTCCCACAACAGAGTTCAATGCTGACAGTCCCTTAATGGTGCAATCCCCCACATCAAACCCTCGCTTGAAGCAGTACATCCCTCTAAGGATCTGTACAACTTAGTTATAAAGTCAGAGGTTCCCATGCTCCTCCAACTTTTTCACATACAGTAATCACTAGAGCAATGCACAGAGCCTAGGAAAGTGCTTTCCTTACACTAACTACTTCATTAGTCTTCAGTCCTTTGAAATCTGCTGACCAGGATCAATTTGTGTACTGGCAGTTTACTTTAAAAGATGCAAATAAAGAAGCAAATGGAAGGAGCACAAGACAGTGATGTGGAGGGACACATTCTCTCCGCTAGGTGTGCACCTTGATATACTCAACAACCCCACGGCTCTCTGAGCCCTGTCTTTCTGGGCTTGGTTTTTTGTGTTTGTTTTTGTTTTGTAATAAAGGTTATATCACATAAATATAATTAATTCATCAGTAACTGGCAGTGAACACGATCTCCTTTTCCACCCTTACTTTCTCCCAGGTTAGGAGGGAATGCTCAAAAGCCCACCATTCTAATCAACTTCGTTTTTCTGGCCCCTAACCTCATTCTAAAACTATCTAGACTAAAGCACGTCATCATATTACGTGTGAGAAACATTTTTTTAAATCAGTGGTGCTATTCCAAGGGGAACCCAGGATAAAGACCAATTATTTGGTTTGTTTGAGGGGGGAGGATAACACCTTGTAGTTTTCTGGGTTCTTCCAGCATGGTGCTCAAGGATCACTCCTGGTGATGCTTGGGTGCCAGGACTCCCTCTTTCAAAGCATGAGCTCTAGACTCCAAACTATCTCTTAGGGTTCTGCCAAGTCCTGGATATCACCCTTTGTCCAGTGAGGTGGCAGTGGTAGTGCATGCAAGACAGAGGTCAGGAAGGGCCTTGGCCAGTGTGCTAGGCCCAAGCTCTCAGGATTCTTCCCAGCCTCCTATTAAACTTTCTTCTTTTTTGTCCAAATCAGGGTGAAAAAGAGAACAGATTTAACTGGAGCCTTTAAACTGGACCCCCTCTACTTGAAGCACAGCCACCAAGATTCAGGTAAGCCATCAGTTTTGCTCTTTGCACTCTGAGTCCTTTTTGTTCTCATCAGAGCTACATTTGAAGAGTCAGGGAGCTAGAGAAGAGTTCTATTGCAGGCAAACTTCATGTAGGGACTGGGTGTCCAGCTCCCAAAGGAAAGGCCTCTTGTGACCCCGGGAAGGGCTCAGGGTAGAATCTTGGACACCCCCTCCCCAGAAGTGCAGGGGCTGTGTGGCACTCATCCATACTGGTTTCCACCTGCATAGGGTCCCTCCCATTGTGCCTTCCCTGGTGTTTTCCTAAGAATTTCCCTTTGTTCATCCCTGTAACACAAAAGGGATAGAGTGCGAATATACTCACTAGATGGTGTATGTGTGAAGTGTGGAAAGAAACTGCATGAGGTTGTCAATGATTTGGAAACCCGTTCTCTCTGGTTTACTCAGCACCTGCCTGCAAATCTGGTTGGATAGGACAGACTGATCTGGGGTGGCCTGAGAAGCGCTGTGATGAGAAGAGGGCTGCCTCTGTGGGGGCTATGCACTCCCAGCTGGTCTGGACAGCAGGAACCCGCAGAGGATGGGTGGGGCTGGGGAAAAGCAGGGATTTCACTGGAAGATACCAGTCTGCAGTCTCCTCAAGAAAGCCAAAGCACAGCCCCCAACCTGACAAAGTGTCTGTCATGGAGGGGAGGGAGGGAGGGAGCCTGGGACACTGGTGGTGGGATTGGTGCTGGAACACAGTGCCTAGAACTTAACTAAGAATATGTAAATCATGGTGTTTTAATAAAAAAAATGAAAGTTAAAGGTCTTAAAGGTCTCTTCCCTCAAGCCATTCTCTCTGGTAGTAGGTCTCCTGCCTTGTAGGCCCTCTGTTAGTTAGTCCCTCAGGGCAGGCCCCAAGGCATACCTGAGGCTGGCACCAGGTGTTTCTGAGAATCTCCTTGTACTGATAAAGTCTGGAGTGTCTCTAAACGCTCTGTACCAGAGGCTCAGTTTAGATCCTGATAAAAATTAAGTGTATATGGAAAAGAGTGAGATGAGCAGACTTTCTCTGGCACTGTTTTTGTGTCCTCATCTACCCTCCTGCTGGGCAGTCTCCCCCAAACCTTGGAGACACACACTTTATTCACTACAAGCCCTTACGCCACTAGTACTGATCCCAGACTTGTGGTCCAGAAGGGAAGGAAAAGCTGTCAGAGTTTCTAATGGGCTGCATTTTGTGTCCTTGGATAAAAGTCCTCAGAACCATAAACTCAGGGAAATTTAGCAATAAACACTCAGTGTATTGATGGGGAATCAGGCCCTGTATGGACAATAGCATTGTTTTCTTAATAGTGACTGGAGTAGAAGCAGCAGTGAGAAACGATGAGGCAATGGACATTGTCCCCTCTCCCCACATCCAGAAACCTAAGCTCAGGATTTCTTTCTGTAATGATACAGGTGACATATAATAACCAAAACACAGATATTATTACACTATAAAAACATCATGTCGACCAAGACCATTCATGGTGACTCACAGTTCCAGAAGGCAGAATCTAACGTTGAACATGGGAGTCTCCCGGTGGACGATTCCACAACGAAATAGACCACATCATATTCAATTGACGGTTTTGCCTGACCGATGTTGCTCTGTTGTCCCAAAATTCCAAACGGGATCGGACCACCGTCTCCTTCGTGCAAAATTCTACTTCACAGAGCGGGGAGAAAGGGCTGCAAAGTTTAAAAAGAGAACTCCCAGAACGACCGCCAACTGGGAGCTCTTTGGCACTATTGCGGCAACATGGGAAGATGCCATTGTTGACAACATTGATGAGGAATACGTTCTACTGGTTCAGCACCTCCATGATTGTGTGAGGAACTCTGAGAGAGATAGCCACAAAAAAACACCTGTCTTCGAAAACTCTTGAGCTTATTCACCAACGTGGTTTGGCGCATGCCTCAGGCAACCGCAAGCTAACGTCCGAGCTCTCAAAGCAGTGCAGAGATGCGATCAAGGAAGACCTCAAAGAGAGAAGAGCAGAAGTGCTGGTAGATGTGGCAAAAGCCGGGGAAAGTATTTGTAACGCCCGCCTGTCCTTCGCCAACTATAAGACCAAGATGACTGCCCTCCGACGTCCTGATGGATCCATCACATCCTCCAGAATGGCAATGGAGAAAATTATCCATGACTTCTACTCAAATCTCTTCGATAGCCATGTCCACTTGCCGACATACCAAATTCCACAGGATGGATATGTCATTCCCAATATTCTCCCTTCCAAAATCCGACACGCCATTTCGTCAGTAAAGAAATGAACAGCACCCGGCCCAGACAAGGTCAGACCTGAATACCTGAAGAACCTGCCATCAGTACTCATCAATACACTGGCTCGGCTCTTTACACGCTACCTGTCTGAATACAAGGTTCCGTCCCAATGGAAAACCAGCAGGACCATACTACTGTTCAAGAAGGGAGACATCCATGACATTGGCAACTATTGCCCAATCTGCCTATTGTCTGTCATCTACAAGTTGTTCGCTCGAGTCATCCTAAATAGGAATGGCAGAACACTAGATGAAGGACAACCATGCGAGCACGCTGGGTTCTGCAAAGGATTCAGCACCATCGACCATATCCATACGATAACCAAGCTCATTGAGGTTTCTCGGGAGTTCAAGATGCCGCTCTATTTAACGTTCATTGATTTAAAGAAGGCCTTTGATTCTGTTGAGACGGAAGCGGTCATTAAAGCCCTAGCCAATCAGGGCATTCAAGCCCAATACATCAAGATCCTCTGTGAGCTGTATTGTGGATTCACTACCAGGATCTCACCATTCTACAAAGAAGTAATCATTGATGTCAAGAGAGGGGTTCGGCAGGGTGATACCATTTCACCGAAACTCTTCAGTGCCACCCTCGAGAACATCATGCGACGACCGGAATGGGAAGGAATGGGAGTGAAGATAGATGGTCGGCAACTACACCACCTCCGCTTTGCTGATGACATTGTTTTAATAACACCAAACATCAGCCAAGCGGCACAAATGCTGGCCAACTTTGACCGTGAGTGTGGAAAGGTAGGACTACAGCTGAATCTTATGAAGACAATGTTTATGAGAAACAGCCTTGTTCCTGATGCCCCATTTGCTCTCAACGGAATGACCATCTCCAAATGCAACAGCCATGTGTACCTAGGTCGAGAAGTCAACATGACAAATGACCTGGCACCCGAGCTGCGCAGGAGGAAGAGAGTGGCTTGGAATGCCTTCAAGAACGTTGAAGAAATAGCTAAGAGGACAAAGAACCTCCGGCTCCGGGCACATCTCTTTGATTCCACTGTTCTTCCTGCATTAACATATGCCTCAGAGACCTGGGCCCTACGTAAACAGGATGAAAATGCTATTCGGGTCTCCCAAAGAGGAATTGAAAGAGCTATGCTTGGAATATCACGTTTCACTCAAATGAGAGAAAGAATCCGGAGTTCTGACATCCGTCGATGATCAAGAATCAGTGACGCTGTCTCGTTTGCCAAGGTGTCAAAAATAAGATGGGCTGGTCACGTATGAGATTTAAAGACGACTGCTGGACTAGAGCTGTTACCTACTGGATCCCACAAGATGTCAAAAGACCATGTGGCCGCCCACCTACCAGATGGTCAGACTTCTTCATCAAGATCATGAACGATCGGTTTGAGGCTCTTCATGTTCCCAGAGCGAACAGATGCCATTGGGCTACACTAGCACGCGACAGGGACAAATGGAGACGTTACTGGCGCCTGCTCTAGCAAATCAATGACTAACGGGAAGTTAAGTGATTAAGTGATGAAAACATCACGTTTTGAAAATAGTAAAGATTAAACAATGAGTTCAAAAGTTTCCATGACCTGCCATCCAAACATAAGTATTAATATGCTGTTGTATTTCTTACCAGTCTTGGTTTTTTTTTTATTATCTTCCATTTGCAGATGTAGAAGCTTCTCATCCCAAATATATTTAGTATAATTGTAAATACTTTTTGGGTATAAGAATATGTTACATAATCCACAGTAGACCATCATCTCTGGACTTTGGTATTTATATTAAGTCTAAACTCTTGGGGCCAGGGATATAGCTCACTGTCAGTACATCTGTATTACACGTATGAGGCCTGGTCTGATCCCCAACATCCTCACTTCCTACACACACACACACACACACACACACACACACACACACACACACACACAAATAAGTAAACAGTTATGCAAAGAAGCATCCAACCAAACCCAGCTTTCCAGCCAGCCCATACAGAAGCTCTCTTTCAATAATTATGTTGTTTGGTCATGATTTAGTCTGAATCTTTTTATTTACATTTCTATGTGCATTATCTACTAGAACTTCTACAATGTTTTCTGTTCTGTGCTGTTCCTACTTGGCATTAAGTCAGATGCTATTCCTGAACACTTGAAATATGTTCAGTCTAACTTAAGAACTTAGTTTCCAACAAGATTTCTATTCAATAAAATTTGAATAATCACGTATGACCAGTGGTTACTCTGTCAGTATAGTGGTACAAACCAGAAAGGAAAGGTCGTTCATTTGTCTTCATTAACAGTGTCATCTGCATTTTCAACAAATTCTCCCTGAAGGTCTATTACAAGCCAAGTATGTTTTGGATGATGTTATCCTGTTTCTCTTGTTACCTGTGAATACTGCCAGGTTAATTTCGGTGACTCTAGTGCTGATGTTTGACTCCATTCTGTGTGATGGAAAGCAGAGAACACTGGCTGCAGTTGACCCTGGCAGGGGGAGTCTGGGTTTCTCCCTTAGCATCACTCAGGAACTCAGAAGTTGAACCTGGCAAAATGTCTTTGAGTGTTTGACCATCTCTCTATAGCGTGATCCTAATGGAGAAGAGGCCTGTTTTCATCTATTCAGATGGCAGACTTTACATTTTCTTGCAAGTATAATGAGAAAGCAGCTACCTATGGTGGAAAGTCATTCGGAAGGATGGTTGCTTTAACTAGACCACTGATTCAGTTGCTCAAGCAAAGGCTTGCTATGGCCACACTAAAACCACTTACCTGGGTAGTGGGAAACACATTCAAGCCTCAGACGATCTTATCTGAATTATGTTAACTGGGTCAGATGCCTAAAACAGGCTGCAGCTTATCTTGGCAACTCCACGTGGTTACTTAACCAATGTCACCATGTGGAAACCTCATAGTGTGAGATTTTTCACACAGAGTACTTCCCCCACACAAGCCTGGAATTTACTGATGAGGATATGAGGGGATTTCAAAATGCAAACCAGCCACTTTCACTGAATTCTGGATGATGCAGAATTCAACAGATGTAAGGAATTCAACAGATGCTCACTTATGTCTCCTCTGTGCCAGAAAAGTAAGAGTTCATAGTATGAAAACAAATACCATCTGCAGTTTATTATTATTTGCAATGTTCTGACACTTAAAAACTTTTACAATTGAGGTTCTATGATTTACAGAATTGCCATTGATGGTTTGCAGCGATGCATCCCCACTGCTGATGTACATCCTCCACTGCCCCCATAGGCCCAGTTCTCCTCCCTTTCATCTCCCAACTCAATTATGTGGGTCAGTTCTTCCATTAGGGTACCTCTGTGCCTTTATTGCCACCTTGCTGTGTATCTTTATGTTCCACACAGGAGGGAGATCATTCTGTATCTATCTCTTTCCTTCTGACTTCACTATCCATGAGATTCTCTAGTTCCATCCATGTTGTGGCAAATTACATGATTTCTTTCTTTCTTAGGGTGGTATAGTATTCCACTCTGTACATATACCACAACTTCTTGTATATCCTAACCACTTTTTATATCACAAATCACTTTTCCATACATGAATGATAATGGCTTTACACACTCGTAAGGGCTGATTTTCCAGGTTAAATGAAACTGGAAAATCTCATATTTTGCTGCAGATATATTAGTAGAGATTGAAACAATAGGAATAATTTGCAATTTTGTAGCTTCCATTTGAATTCAGGGCATCCTGCTCCAGGGGCTGCTCTTGAACAGATTATCAGGGAGATGCCCCAGCCCTTGCCCTCACTGGTCTTATGTAGCTCAGGGGATGATGTGGGAAGGATGCAGGGAGAAGGCCTCAACAAACATGTCTAATGGTTTCTTCGTTTTCTTTAACTTTCCCAGGGCTGATCACTGACTACAGGGTAAGTGGGAGAACGCTCCGTTAGAGCTCCAGGTTTGTGATAATGCACTGCAGAACTGGGCCCTGTCTTAGCTTTTAGATTACACATCAGATTTTGGTGTTTGCACACTTGGCTGTAGAGCTCACTTCAGACTTCATGCCTTAAGTTGCAGGGCTTGCACACATGTTTGTTGGGGGGTGGGCACAGGTTTAGCTGAGGCATGTGAGTTATGACTGTGGTACTTTCCTGGGTTTATTAAATATATGCTCCCTAATTGGTCACTTCCTGACCCTGGCACTCACCCATCTGTGTGCTAGTTATTATATCCATTTTTTTGTTGTTGTTGGTTACACTTGCCTATCTGTATGTTTCAGGAAGTCACTTGCAACACCAAAGATCAAAGAGAGCAGAGCTGCAGGTGAAAACAGTAGAACTTCCAGGACCATGCTCTGTGTATGTGGGACACTAGGGGTTTAAACTCATGACATATGAAGGAGCTGTAAGCCACTGTGTTATTTCTTCTAGATCCCAAAGTAACATTTTTTTAAATATTAAAAATAGACTAGTAAATTTTAAGAAGCTCCCTTAACAACTTGGAAAATAAAAGACAACAATAAATTGCACAACAATAAAAGACAAAAAAATAAAACAAAACAAAAAACTCAGTGCCAAGACTGAGAACTTGTCAAATCCCTTAGCTCCACATGCCTGTCTTCTCTCATACAAAGGTCAGGCTGAGTGTGGCTTAGCAGCAGAGTCCATGACCTCTATGTGTTAAGTCATGAGTTCTAACTCTGGCACTGCAAAAGCAAAAAACTAAAATAAAGTAAAAGAAAATAAGACTACTAATCCCTGCTTTGGAAAGATAGAATGATGTGACTTTGCCTAACTCAGTTCTTGGTGTAAATGGAGGTGACCTGTATTGATGTCTTGTTGCAATATATTTTGGAGCTTGAACTGAAGTCATAAGTGGATGCTGTTGATGCATTCATCACTAACCATTACTCACCTACCATTCCACTAGAGGGCAGGCCCTCTAGTGCAGATAGCCTGGGCATTGCTGGACCATTATATGGCATCATCTCCTGCACTAATGAAAACCTACCATCTCAACCCTGTTCTCCAGAGAGAGACCCAGAGAACAGAAAGTGAGCTTTCTTTATGAGCTGCTATATGACAGAAAGTGACCAGAGGAATAAATCAGAGGGCTGAATGTGTGCTTTGCATGCTGAGTCCCAGGTTCAATTCCCAGCACCACATAGTCCCCCAAGCAGCTCTGAGGGCTGCTCCCAAGCACGAAGCCAACCTAGAAGTAGCCTCCAGCTATTAGGTGCCACCCCCAAGCAGAAAATATATAAAAATAAATATAAAAGTCAGAAGCAGTTTCTACACTGAATCCAAACTGTTTCAGTGTTTTTCCCCATACATCATTCTTCTCTGTTCTTACTTATGCTAGTACATTAACAAGCACAAAGCAGTCTCGTAGACTGCAGAGTGAAGTCACCTTATGGGTTCAGAAAAAAAACTGGGGAAGAGGTCAAGCTTATTTGAGAACTATTTTGGTGGTAACAGATGTCTTGTCCAGTGAGAGGGTCCATGTGCCATGTCTGGGCTGTCAGCAGGTAGGGCAAAAGAAGAATCAATACTCCTCTAGAAAATTGTTCAGGACACAAAAATATATGAAGTTAAACACCAGTATTCCACTCCTTTATTCCTCAACCCTGGAGCCAGAGAAGGATTTGGGAGGCCCCACTCCCATGCAGATCTCTGCAGTGAAGGCCTCTTGTAGTCCACACTCTGCACTGCACTGTCAGTTTTGCTGTCAAAGGCCAAACACGGCAGCTGGAGCAGGCAGCTTCCCGATGATTGGCTGCTTCCAGAAGAAACAGGCGGACCGAGGAGGTAAAGGCTCTAAAACATTCCTCCCTGACACACCATTTTGGATTTTATTTCAGCACTGGCAGTTACCGCTGGGTCGAAGATTCCGCTCTTTGAAAATGTGGTTTGTGTTTAGGATGTATGGAGTCAAGGGACTGCAAGCCTATATCCGCAAGGTAACTTTGTTTTCATTATTTATCTAGGGAATATCAAGGATTTAGGGGCTTTAGAAATGAACTAGGATGCATTAGTAATCAAATGTATGATAGAGGACATCCTAGGCTATTGAGAGTAGCATATCTCTAAGATGGTCAGTGCACCTTGATGATTTTGTAGATGATTCCATGAAAGCTGTACCCTGTGGGAAACCATCCAGTAAAGAAAATGCATCGCTAGCACTTTAGTCACGTCTCACAGACAACTAGGGCGAGTCAACAATGAAAAACAGTGGAACGAATGAAAAAACTGTTTTCCACAAAAAGGAAAGCAACTTTGGGTGGGAATGGATGTCAAGCATGCCAGCCCCATGTTCCTCAAACAAGCCCCCTAACTCGCAGAACTTGCTTGTGCAATCTACCTCCTCCTGGGCAGTTAAAGCAACCTATTTTTTAAATTTATTTTTATTTTTTTATTAGTGAAACACCACGAGGTACAGTTATAGACTATAAATTTTTGTGCTTGGGTTTCAGTTATACAATGATCAAGTACCCATCCCTCCACCAGTGCCCATCCTCCACCACCACGGGTCCCAGCATCCCTCCCAACCCCCAACTGCCCCGTCCCACCCTGCCTCTGTGGCAGGGCATTCCCCCTTGTTCTCTCTCTCTTCTTTTGGGTACTGTGTTTTGCAAGAGAGGCATTGAGTGGCAATCATGTTTGGTCTATAGACTACTTTCGGCATGCTTCTCCCACCCTGAGAGGGTCCTCACAACACCCTTTATTTGGTGCTCTTTTTTATCTGAGCTTCCTTTTCACCTAGCATGTGTGGCTGGCCTTCAAGTCATGGAGCAAAATTCCTGGTACTAATCTCAGCCATTCCTGGGTGTTAGTCTCCCGTTTTGTTGCTTTATGTTCCCCAGATGAATGCAATCTTTCTGTGTCTATCCCGCTCTTTCTGACTCATTTCGCTTAACATGATACTTTCCATGTAGTACCACTTGTATGTAAATTTCATAACTTCATCTTTTCTAACAGCTACATAGTACTCCATCGTGTAAATGTACCAAAGTTTCTTTAACCAATCATCTGTTCTCAGGCACTCAGGTTTTTTCCAGATTCTGGCTATTGTAAAGAGTGCTAAAGCAACCTATTTTAACAGGTGAATTCAGTAGCTAGGATATGAGGGTTAAAATTTGAGAACCTCCAACCTCCTCAAGCTCCACCACAAAACTTTCTTTTATTATATTAAAAACAATCTGTGGGGCTGGAGCGATAGCACAGCGGGTAGGGCTTTGCCTTGCACGCAGCCAACATGGCCAACACAGGTTCGATTCCCAGCATCCCATATGGTCCTCCGAGCGCTGCCAGGAGCAATTCCTGAGTGCATGAGCCAGGAGTAACCCCTGAGCGTCGCTGGGTGTGACCCAAAAAGCAAAAAAAAAAAAAAAAAAAAAAAAAAAAAACCAATCTGTGCCATGTTGAGGACTAGAGAAATAGTACAGCTGGTAAGGCGTTTGCCCGGTAGCCCTGGGCACCACTGGGTGTGACCTCCAAATCAAAAATAAGTAAATAAAAAAATTAAAACTACCCCACATAACCATGAGCAGGTTTCTGTTTTGGCTTCCCAGGAAGTTAAAGGATAACAATGCACACCTGAAGAGCTATATCTTCCCAGGCAGATGTAGATATCTGGGCTCTTGTGGGGAACCATTGTGAGCCTGAATTCTTTGGCGCCCTCTAGTGGATATAAGCATATTACATGACTAGGACCAGCTTGTGTGTTTTTTCATTCTTAGCAAGTACTACCACTCAAATAGTTCTTGAGCACTTCCAAGTGACAGCACTATGCTGGATGTCTGTATTTAGAAGAGCAAGATGTGCACCTAAGCTGTAGAGATTTTTCTCAGACCTCTAGTTGGATGCTTCTGAGCTCCACAAACATTTAAAAATCAAATATGATGGTTTATTCTATGACAGGCAATTCTTGAATGTGACATGATTCACACCTCTTGGTGCAAAAGCTGTGGAATAACAACCATGACAACTGTAGAACTGAAGGTTAGGTGTTAGGCGTTTGCAGCAGATCAAATCCTCAGTATTCTTATCTGCAAACTGGGCATAAGTGAATTTCCCCTATTGTGTGAGGATTACTCAGTGGTGAACCACACTGCACTCACCAGGAGCCTACAGCAAAGTTAAAAGCCATATCAACAGAATGTTTAAATCCCTCTTCAGTGTTTATTTCAAAAACGATGAAAGATTGTTGGGGTAGGATAAAAAACAGCCTAGAAATATATGGCTGGTGTTTTTCTGAAGAGAATGAAATTTTCCCCAGAATGATTTTTTTTAAACCTGTGTGTGAACAGGAGACAAAATCACTTGAAGAAAGTAGCTAAGACAATGTAAATGAATTATAAATATGTCATCTAAGGAAAATCACCTCGGTGGTTAAGTGGTGAGAAGAGCCTTACAGTTTCTCTCTTTCCCTTCAAGCATGTCCAGCTGTCTCACGAGTTTGAGTCTCTGGTGCAGCAGGATCCTCGTTTTGAAATTTGTGCGGAAGTCACTCTGGGGTTGGTCTGCTTTCGGCTCAGGGTATGTTCAAGTTTATTCCAATATTCTTGTTTTCTTTTCTTCAAATGTGACAGAGAGGAACATGAACTTTGTGTTCAAGGCACTCAATTAAATCACACCTCAGTCTGTTCATACCACCTACTACCAACTATATCCTACCTGCACACAGTTCTCCATGAATTTTTTTCTTCCTTGGTCATAAGCTGTGAATTCTGGTTTGTGTGACCCCTTTGGGTCTAAGACACTCACCAGTATCTCCATCCCTATGTACCTGCATAGGTTGCTCTAAGGACTGGCCTGACTGTAGCACCACTTCCCATAGTGTCATCCCCAAGTGTGATGACAGTTAACATCATCTGGGAGATGCTGAAAAAATGCCAGCCTAGGACCCTAGCTGACCAGGACTGCACTTTAGCATGCCTTCCTACTTCTCCTCAAGGTTGTTGGTAGACACACACATGGTTAAGATGGGCTGTGGCTGTGGCAAGGACAAGTGTGTTTGCCCTCTGACAAGGGTGCTGGCCTTAGACCCACTGGTGATATAAGCCATTTTACTGCAATCCATGACCAAGTTTCTCAGAAGGCCCCACAAGATGGAGGACACAGACCCCTTGAGGCTGGAGGACAATCTAATGCCCTAGTAACTCTTGAGCTAACTTTTCATGTCCCCTTTCCACAGGTTCCTATTTAATTTCAAGAAGAAAGATAGGCATGGCTCAGCTGCATAGTTATGACATGTGGCTTCTCTTACCACATGCTTCTTTGTGATTCTAGAGATTTGAACCAGTCATGGAAGTCTGGAAGCAGCTGATCGTAGAGCTCTGACAAGGCGATGGGGGAAACACAGATATGGGAAAGAGGAACCGTGAGATCATACTCAGAGATGATCTGTGAGCACATGTACTTGGCAACATGTGGAACTATCCTGACATTACTCCAGATACTGGGGGGTAACAAACATGGCACCAGTCAACTTTGGTGTCTTCATTATGCTTAGCCTTTGTAGGATTTTGATTTTCACATTTTACTAGTTTAATTGGGGTATCATTTGCCAACCACTTTCTTCACTTAGAATTACTTTAGTATCTACCCCAGCTTTTATAGCAATGAATTTGGAAACACCCCATCCTTCAATAAAAGCCCTCACACATCATAGTCATCTGTCACTTAGATGTTATTGATCTGCTTTCTGTTGAAGACTGTTATGAACATTTAGTAATGAAATTATCAGTATACTGACTTTTGTGACTGGCTTCTTTCACTTAGCATAATGTCATCAAGATTATATTTTGTATATATTATATATAATTTTCACCATAATCAATGGTGACCAAACCCACCTATGCATATGGTCTTTATTCTTCTGTGTCAGGTTCAATCATACTCCTAAGTTCAGGCTATTTCTATGAAGTTTTCTGCTTTCTGTTGAAGACTTTGTTATCAAGATTATATTTTGTATATTTTATATATAATTTTCACCATAATCAATGGTGACCAAACCTGCCTATGCATATGGTCTTTATTCTTCTTTGTCAGGTTCAATCATACTCCTAAATTCAGGATATTTCTATGAAGTTTTAAAATTTTATCTTGTCATAATTTTCTTTGTCCCATTCATCACCACCACTCCCAATACAGAGAGAAATATCACTTGACTTAAAGCATAACAGTACTATATACTATTACTATCTCATAACTGCCTTCCTGTCACTGTATCTTCACCCCAACCTGTCCCGTTGTTTCATTCTGCACCTATTTTCCTTCTTCTACTCTTTCTCCCCCTCCCTCTCTCTCTCCCTCCCCTTTTTCATTCTTTTCCATATTCACATCTCATACTAAGACCATCTTCTCTGGCATCTTACCTCTATTTTCTTTTTCAGTCTACTACCATTTTTTTTTTTTAAATGTAGGAGTACTGCTATTTATTCAGCCAATGATTAAGCTGACTGAAGCATTCTTTACTGATGTTTCAGGATACAGAAAATGTCACAAAGTTTTGCCTCAAATATAAAATATATTAAATATATTTGGAATAAGAAGGAAGTTTTTTTAAAAACTATTTTCTACATTTAATATTTATCAAGTGTTTCTTTTTATAATAAATCTCTATGGTAGCTATCTTTCCTTTGTAGCATATTCTTCTTTATCATCCACCTGTAATAGGAGAATGTCTTTCCGGGTGGATGGACCAGTTTCTGAAGTAATTTTCTGGTAGAATTACCATTCAGGCTATCTATGTGAGACCAATGGGAGCTCCATAGCAAGAGGCTAGGTGAATATGAATGGGTCAGATTCTAAAATCTGTTTGTGTCTGGGTCAAACTGGGTTCTTCTTTTTCCTCTCCTTGTCTCCATTCTCAGGACAGAGTGAAAACCAGAACAGTTCAGTCCTGTATGGGTTACATTATCAAGGATGCAAGGCTGCACCTGTCAGCCCTCTTTTTTTTGTTGTTGTTTATTTATTTATTTAAATTTTTATTAATGAAACACCATGAGGTACAGTTGTGGACTTACAAGTTTTTGTGCTTGGGTTTCAGTTATACAATGATCGAGTACCCATCCCTCCACCAGTGTCCATTCTCCACCACCACTGATCCCAGTATTCCCCCCCCACCCACCCGTGGCAGGGCATACCATTTTGTTCTCTCCTTTTGGGTTTGCAAAAGAGGCACTGAGTGGCAGTCATGTTTGGTCTATAGTCTACTTTCAGCATGCATCTCCCATCCTGGGAGGATCCTCCCAACACTCTTTATTCAGTGCTCCCTTCTCTATCTGAGCTGCCTTTTCCCCTAGCGTGTGCGGCTAGCCTCCAAGCCATGGAATAAATCTCCTGGTACTTATCTCAGCTATTCTTGGGTGTTAGTCTCCTGTTTTGTTACTTTATGTTCCCCAGATGAATGCAATCTTTCTTTGTCTGTTCCTTTCTTTCTGACTCATTTCGCTTAGCATGATACTTTCCATGTAGTACTATTTGCATGTACATTTCATGACTTCATCTTTTCTAAAAGCTAAATAGTACTCCATTGTGTAGATGTACCAAAGTTTCTTTAACCAGTCATCTTTTCTCGGGCACTCAGGTTTTTTCCAGATTCTAGCTATTGTAAACAGTTGTCAGCCCTCTTTTACTTCAACTTTGTGGCTGACAACGGATGGAATCATTGTGTGTAAGAAAAGGACAGAAAGCAGTATAGAGAATGAATAGCCTGAGGAATTGGCATCCCTGACAGGGAAAGGGGTGGGCTCTGTCCTCGATAGGCTGCTCTCTTCAAAGGGAGGCCCATATGAGACCTTGGGCCTATTTTGTGAGCAGTTTCCCTGATTCTAGTTATAAACTATCATACTTCATTTGCTATGTTGAGATTTGGATCTCTGAGGCCCCTTCACTGATGGCATTAGAAACCTCAGTTCTGCCATTTATGTTCCTATATGTAGATAACATTTCTAGGAACTGCCTTAAAAAAACACCACCACAACTCAGACTTTAGAAGAACCCATTTTTTAAAAACTGTTTATTTAGGCACTGTGATTTATGAAGCTTTAGTAACAGAATCAATGTTACAACTCCAAGCATACCACCAGAGCCAGCATCCCTTCATCAATGACCAAAGGTTCTTTTCCTCTCCGTACCGTAGGGCGTTTGCCTTGCACACAGCCAACATGGCCGACCCGAGTTCGATTTCTCTGCCCCTCTCAGAGAGCCCAGCAAGCTACCGAGAGTATCTCGCCCCCACGGCAAAGCCTGGCAAGCTACCAGTGACGTATTCGATATGCCAAACACAGTAACAAGTCTCACAATGTTACTGGGCCCGCTCGAGCAAAATTGATGAACGACAGGAGGCCAATGACAGTGACAGTGACCCCACCTCCGTAGAAAGCATATTCTCTTTAAAATGCAGTTATCTGGGGCCAAAATGACAGTATAGCTTGGAGGATTCTTACCTTGCATGTGGTTGACATGGGTTTAATCCCTGGTACCACATATGCCCCTGCCCCGCTCATGCCCCACCAAGATATAGTTATCTAGTTACCTCACCTATATAGCACCAAAGTGTTCAAGACCATAAGTTTTTTTTTTTTAAAGCATATTTGAACATGAAGACATTGTCCTATCTGGAGAAGCTGCAGTCTCTTGTGACTACTTTCTATACAAGTGTCTAGGTGAAAAGTGCTGCTGTGTCTTCTACCAATGCCTGGCAGAACTGCCAAACCCAGGTCTCACTTCATTAGCCGACTGACTGAATCTTCCAAAACCTGAGCACAGCCCTTCTCTCTGTTCCTTTAGGGATCCAACAAACTGAATGAAGCTCTTCTGCAGAGAATTAACAACGCCAAAAAGATCCACCTGGTCCCCTCTAACCTCAGAGACAAGTTTGTTCTGCGGTTTGCCATTTGTTCCCGTACTGTGGAGTCTGCCCATGTACACCTTGCCTGGGAGCACATAAGAGCACTAGCCACTGAAGTTCTGGGGGCAGAGATGGAGGGAAAATGAGCCAGGGGCAGCAGGTGAGTTGCACTGAATGTTACAGGATAAATTTCCTTTGGCAAAAAGATCAAGCTATATCCCTGTTAGTCTGTAGATGTAGGAAAATGATACATCATAATGATCCTTTAAATTCCTAGATATATTTGTATACTGTATTCTTTGAGATGGGGAATCAAAAAATGATCAATCGTGTATCTGTGCAATCCATCCTCATATCTCATATCTTTACCGTTCTTTATCTCATTTCTTTATCGATGTGTTTAAGAGGGAGCTTACTGTCACAACAACCTTATATGTTTACCCAGGAAAATGAAGAGTAAAAACTTTACAAAAAGAATTTCATGCAACAGATGCTTATGATTCCTGCTGGTGCAGGAAAAAAAAGCAATGTGTATGCCACAGAGCTTCTTGTGGTTGCTAAAGATGTGCCCTACCTCGAAGTCAGCAGTGTAAACTTGTAAGAAACACCTGCTAACAAGGTAGGGTTACTGATAAGGGAGAGTTGGAAAATGATGTCAATTTTACCACAATAATCTCAAAATTCTTTTAATCAAATTATTTCAAGAATATCTACCTTCAGGGGCTTTTCCGAGTAAGGCTCTTGCCTTGCACATGGCTAACCTGGATTTGAGTCCCTGTCTCATATAGTCCCCTGAGCACTGCCATGAGTAATTCCTGAGTAATGCCTGAGTACAAGATACGACCTAACCAAAAAAAGGGAAAGAAATAATGTCTACCTTCTTTCTCTTTTGCCTCATTTGGGGGTCAGGGACTATGGATATTTGTAATCATTTCTCATGTCTGTCCCTTTTCATTCCAATTTCCCACCTATCATAACCTATGGAAGATGTAAGAGCTCAATGTCTATATCTGATCAGTTGATTTTACTAACAGGGTTAACTTCTTTGTCCTTAATAACTGTGAACATCTGAAATACCAGCTTCCTCAAGAAAAAAAATTAAAGACCATGGAGTTGGGGAGAGGGACAATGGGAAGGGTGCTTGCCTCACACATGGCTGACCTGGTTTTGATCTCTAACACCCCATATGTTCTTCTGAGCACCACTAGGAGTGATCCCTGAGAAACGTCAGGAGTAAGTCTTAAATACTGCTGGGTGTGGTGCAAAAATAAATTTTAAGTTAAAATGATACACTTATTTATAAGAAGCCAATTCATGGCTTCTAACCAATGTTAGACACCTCCGCTGAAGTTTTCCTAGAAAGACATTCTTTCCTCCTCTAAGCTTTGTAAAAGGTCCACTGCTCTTAAGCTGAGGGTTCCCACCCTGTGTAAAGCCAACTCTAAGACAATATTATAAACATCTCCACAAGGCACTGAGAGAAACTTTTATTTTCACACAATGCCACTGCTCTAAGACAAGGATAAGTATGAGAGTGGGGAGATCCATACAAAGCAAAATTGTATCAGATGCACAATTTACATGAACATTTATGCAGCTATATCATATGCAGATTTATTTCCATGTACCCGTGGCAAAATACAGTAGCATTAAAAATTATCAAAATGTAAGGCATGTTTTTGATAGAAGTCACAATGTTCAAAAATCATACATACCAAATACAAAGGCAAAAATAGTATTAATATGTTTTAAATGTATAATAGAAATGCATGCATATATAATTGTTTGTACTAGATTAGCTAATGTAAACTTTACTTGTGCTTATCTGGGGTAATTACACCAAATTCATGTAGTCACATCTCTAAGAGAAAGAAAAATATTTCCATTTTCCACAGAGTAGAAACTAGCTAGAGATTCTAATTTATAAAAATGTGCTATAAGAGAAGCATGGTATCTGTGTCTCACTGGGGAACAGTATAATCCTGTGCATTGAAATGAGAAGTATTATTTTCGGTCACTGAGGTCAGAACACCAATGAACAATGCTATGGACAGCAGAGAGGTGTCCTACAATTCAATTCAGTCCTGACAATCCACCCAAATAGAATCAGGATAAGTCCCAAAAGACTGCCCTTCTTCTCCCTCCCACCCACCACACAACTTCACACACCAATGCCAAGTCCAGGTTGTCACCTATGCTTTTGACTAACAGGCAATTTGAGGTCTCCACGAACCCTTCCTTTTGGTTTGAATCATCTGTCAGAGTGGCTCAGCAAACTCGGGGAAACATCATACTTAGTATATCATTCGTTTATTATGTTAATTGTATATAACAGTTCAATGGAAGAGATGCATATGACAAATCACAGGGAAAAGGGCATGGAGGGCTCACGTCCTCTCCACAGCCACTCACCATAAATCTACACATTCACAAAACTGGAATCTCTCTGAACCCATCTTTTCAGTTTTACATGGAGATTTCATTACAGTATCATTATTAATAAACTGGCCACTGGAAGATTCAGCCTCTTGCTCCTCTCCCCTACCTGGAGGTCTAAAGCTAGAATGGAAGGTTCCCCATCTTTAGGTAGTTTAACCTCACTGAGACAAAAATAGATACATTTCACTACTTAGGATATTCCAATGATTTTATGAGTTATTAATCAAACTGTGAAAGAACAAATATATTTTTATAAATTACAACACCATAAAAGTATTAAAACTTGATTCTTTAATTTTTCTAATACAGATACATGTTTGTTACTTTTCCCCTATAGAGACCAAAAGTTTAAAAGATACATATTGGAAAACGGAATGACATGAAAACGAATCTCACCCTGATTCCATGTGACCAACCCTACATGTGTCTGTTTCTTTCTCTAAAACCATCCAAAAGTGATTGCATCTGTTCAGTTCCTCATCAATAAAGGAATATTGCCTCCTGTATGAAAAGTTAATACCAGTATTTAATAGTTTTTTATATTATTTTGTTGTGAATTTCTGCTGATTAAAAGTTGTATTTTGTGCTTGTTAGTGGTATGAAAGTCTTAGAGAAATATTTCCTAGTTCAGTCTATAATTACACTTGAAATTATACCTGTGACCTTAATAGTTGCTTTACTGACTTCTCAGTATATATCAGGCATTATTTAGGAAGCATTAATCATAAGCAATTGTTACTTGGAGATGACTCTAACTTAAAGGAATAAATTCAGAATGAAGACACAACCAGAGTCTGGGTCTACTGGTTTGATGGGAATGACAGTAACCTGCAGAGCCTTGAATTCCTTATAAGTCTATCTGGCTTGTAGTGCCATGAATTAGTTAGAAAGCTCTCAATGTAAACAATAATACTAATGGCATGGGGACAAAGAATAGTCCATTGGGAACCACTGGGGGTACCATGTAGGGAGCTGTAGAACAATGAACACTTAAATAACTGTGGAAGTTGAGATTGCCTAAATAGACATTGAAAGTGTATCTAACATGAGACTGACACCCAAGGAAAGTAGATACAAGGGCCAGGAAGATTTCTCCATAGTTGAAAACCTGCCTCATGAGGGTGGAGAAGGCAGCTGGAATAGAGAAGGGATCACTAAGAAAATGATGGTTGGAAGAATTGGTCAGGATGAGAGAGGTGTGCTGAAAGTAGATAAAGGACCAAACATAACCTCTCAGTATCTGTATTATAAACCATATGCCCAAAAGTAGAGAGAAAGTATGGGGAATATTGTTTTCCATAGAGGCAGTGGGAGGGTGGGAAAGAGGGGGGGAATACTGGGGATATTGGTGATGGGGAATGTGCACTGGTGGAGGGATGGGTGTTTGATCATTGTGTGACTGTAACTCAAACATGAAAGCTTATAACTATATTTCACGGTGATTCAATAAAATATATCACTGTCACTGTCCTCCCGTTGTTCACTGATTTGCTCGAGCGGGCTCAGTAACATCTCCATTGTGACAATTGTTACTGTGTTTGGCATATCGAATACATCAGGGGGAGCTTGCCAGGCTTTGCCATGTGGGCGAGATACTCTCGGTAGCTTGCTGGGCTCTCCGAGAGGTGCGGAGGAATCGAATTCGGGTTGGCCATGTTGGCCACTTGCAAGGCAAACACCTTACCCGTTGTGCTATAGCTCCAGCCCAATAATCCAATAATATATATATATTATTGGAGAAGTTCTATAAAGAAGATCATACCTTCTACAAGATCATTGTCAATGATTTTAATGCCAAGATAGGACCAAAAAGATCAGCCGATGAACTCCACATCGGGGCCCATGGCCTAGAATACTAGGGTGAGAGACTGTCTGAGTTCATCATGTTAACCAAGACCTTCCATGGTAACTCACAGTTCCAAAAGGCTGAATCTAAACGTTGGACATGGGAGTCTCCCGGTGGACGGTTCCACAATGAAACAGACCACATCATATTCAATTGGCGGTTTTGCCTAACCGATGTTGCTGTTGTCCCAAAATTCCAAACGGGATCAGACCACCGTCTCCTTCGTGCAAAATTCTACCTCACAGAACGAGGAGAAAAAAATGCAAAGTTTAAGAAGAGAACTCCCAGAACGACCACCAACTGGGAGCTCTTTGGCTCTGTTGCAGCAACATGGGAAAATGCCGTCATTGACAACATCAAATGACTCAGCACCTCCATGATTGTGCAAGGAATGCCACGACAGATATAACCACAAAAAACCGCCTTTCTTCGAACACTCTTGAACTTATTTGCCAAAGTGGCTTGGCACATGCCTCAGGCAATCGCAAGCGAACTTCCGAGCTGGCAAAACAATGCAGAGAAGCCATCAAGGATGACCTCAAAGACAGGAGAGCAGCGGTGCTGGTAGATGTGGCAGAAGCCGGGAAAAGCATTTGTAATGCCTGTCTGTCCTTCACCAACTACAAGACCAAGATGACTGCCCTCCGACATCCTGATGGAGCTATCACATCTTCCAGAAGGGCAATGGAGAAGATTATTCATGACTTCTACTCAGATCTCTTTAATAGCCACGTCCATTTGCCCACATACCACATTCCGCATGATGGATATGTTGTTCCCAATGTCCTCTCTTCCGAAATCCAACATGCCATCTCGTTGGTAAAGGAACAAAGAGCACCTGGCCCAGACAAGATCAGACCTAAACACCTGAAGAACTTACCATCAGTACTCATCAATACACTGGCTCGGCTCTTCACATGCTACCTGTCTGAATGCAAGGTTCCATCCCAGTGGAAAACCAGCAGGACTGTACTACTGTACAAGGGAGACATCCACGACATTGGCAACTATCGCCCAATCTGCCTATTGTCTGTCATCTACAAACTGTTCACTCGAGTCATCCTAAATAGGATTGGCAGAACACTAGATGAAGGACAACCATGTGAACAAGTCGGATTCCGAAAAGGATTCAGTACCATCGACCATATCCACACGATTACTACGCTCATTGAGGTTTCCTAGGAGTTCAAAATGCCGCTCTGTCTAACATTCATTGATTTAAAGAAAGCCTTTGATTCTGTTGAGACGGAAGCGATCATAGAAGCCCTAGCCAATCAGGGCGTACAAACTCAATACATCAGGATACTTCGTGAGCTTTATTATGGATTCACTACCAGGATCTCACCATTCTACAAAGAAGTAATCATTGATGTCAAGAGAGGGGTTCGGCAGGGTGATACCATTTCACCGAAACTCTTCAGAGCCACCCTCGAAAACATCATGCGATGACTGGAATGGGAAGGAATGAGAGTGAAGATAGATGGTCAGCAACTATACCACCTCCGCTTTGCTGATGACATTGTTTTAATAACACCAAACATCAGCCAAGCGGCACAAATGCTGAACGACTTTGACCGTGAGTGTGGAAAGGTAGGACTACAGCTGAACCTTACGAAGACAATGTTTATGAGAAACAGCCTCGTTCCTGATGCCCCATTCACTCTCAACGGAACGACCATCTCCAAATACAACAGCTATGTGTACCTAGGTCGAGAAGTCAACATGACAAATGACCTGGCACCCGAGCTGCGCAGGAGGAAGAGAGCGGCTTGGAACGCCTTCAAGAATGTGTAAAAATAGCTAAGAGGACGAAGAAACTCCGGCTCCAGGCACATCTCTTTGATTCCACTGTTCTTCCTGCATTAACATATGCCTCAGAGACCTGGGCCCTACGTAAACAGGATGAAAATGCTATTCGGGTCTCTCAAAAAGGAATCGAAAGAGCTATGCTTGGAATATCACGATTCACTCAAATGAGAGACAGAATCCGAAGTTCTGATCTCCGTCAACGCTCAAGAATCAGGGACGCTGTCTCATTTGCCAAGGCATCAAAAATCAGATGGGCTGGACACGTAATGAGGTTTACAGACAACCGCTGGACTAGAGCCATTACAGATTGGATTCCATGGGACATCAAAAGATCACGTGGACGCCCACCTACAAGATGGTCAGACTTCTTCGTCAAGACCCTGAATGATCGGTTTGAGGCTCTGCATGTTCCTAGAATGAACAGATGCCATTGGGCTACGCTAGCACGCAACAGGGATGAATGGAGACATTACTGGCGCCCGCTCAAGTAATTCGATTAATAACGGGAGATCAAGTGATCAAGTGATATATATAAAGTGTTTGTATATATATATAAAGTATACATAAAGTGTTTGTATAGATATATAAAGTATATATATATGTGTATATAAAGTGTTTGTATCTGAGTATAGCCTTAATATTGCTGCAAAGACAGCAAGAAGAATCACCAAAGTCACTACTGCCCACCTTCAGCGTTTTGGAGTACCACCTCCCTCTAGCCATATACATCACAATACTTTGAGAAATGAGAGTGAGGAGACTGTGAAGCAAGATGACTATGGTGTGGCTGCAAGAATTCATGCACAGAGCTGACAGAGCAGGGATTTATTAAAGAGATAATCCCCCCCGCCCCGATCCAGAAAATATCATATTTAGTAGAGAGTCTGGGACTCCTGGCTATAGACCCCCAAAGAGAAAAACCTATTTGGTTTATACAGTTCTCTCAATCTCCTAACATCACCAATCACATTCATAATATAGTATAAGACCACAATCACCTGGCCTCAAAGCAGGAAGAAGCACCACCTCCACATGTACCTAGCAAACATATTCAGGTGTCAGACACTGACTTAAATGTTTTTAAAATACCAACTTACTTCAGAAATCTCAATTATAGTCCTATTTTACTGATGAAAAAAGACACGAAGTGGTTCACTATGAAAATGCAAGTTCATAGCACTAATTGTTGAACTGATACCAGAAATAAGTCTGACTCTAGAATCCCTACTCTTGCCTACTCATATATGCTGCCAAATTGTCTTCCCTCAGATGGATCATTTCTTAAGATCATTGGCAATAAAGACAATTATTATCTTTAGAAAAAAGCATATTCACCTCCGAGGAGAATCTTGGCTCTTGATTCCAACCCAGACAATCCCCAAATAGTCCAATCTGGGGAAACCATTAAAGGTGCATGAAATTATATTAATCCATGCCAACCCATTGCTTCTTTATAAAACATATGTTCAGTGTAGGTCATGATTCAGTCCATAGAGCACAGTCTGCCCTAGACTAGACATGGACTTATACTGACCCCTAATATCTCTCAAAAATGGCTTTCAGTTATTACTGGAAAAATTCCAGAGGAATCTGGAAATAATCAACATCTGATAAAAGGAGGAACGTGCTTACTTATTGATACCCTTATGATCTCCATAAGATGGGCATTATTATGTGCTGGCACCAATAAGGAGTGTCTGAAAACACTTCTCCCCCCAGTAACTGACACCATTTGTCTAAAGTTTGTGTTATATTACAGACATTAAGGGCTGAGTGCTACAAAACTGCTTTTACTTCAGATAACAGCTGCAAGTCCTAGGTTTGAGACTTCTGACCAAGCGACTTTAAATTGGAGATGACCATGACTCTCTCCTCAGGACCTTTTTGCTTTGCTTATGTTTACTGGTTCATCACGAAGAAACAATCAAGTAGAAGAGAAGCATGGGGCAAGGTCTGTGGAAGGGGGGTGCTTTTCAGTCATCTTCAAAATCACTGCCCTCCCAGGATCTCACTGCATTGACTTGATGATATTCAAGTCCCGCTGTATACTATGGAATTTCCATCACAGAAGCACACTTGATTAAATCACTTTATCCTCTACACTCCCTTCTCCCCTGGTTGATAGTAGGACTGATTCAGAAAGTGCCAAATTTCTACTTCTTCCTTGGTTTTTGTGGTGTTCAGAACTCTTCCTGATGCCATCTAGGAGCATCAAGAATACCTTCTTGGGACTTAAGAAAATGCTTTCAACCAAACACATCCAGGAATTTAGCAGCACTGAACTGGTACCAGGGAAAATACAAAATATAAAATTTGTATTGTGTGACACCTAGGAAATCTGGAATTTCTTCTCTCTGAAACTTGAGTGAGTAGGGCATTTGCCTTGCATGTTGCTGACCCAGGTTCAATCCCCTGCACTCCATGTGGTTCCCTGAGCCTACCAGGGGTGACCTCTATAGCCAGGAATAAAGTTTGAGCACCACTAGGAATGGTCCCAAAACAAAAACAAAAAGACAAAACCAACAAAAAAACTTTCATACAAATGGAACTCCCATTTTAGATCAACCTGGATGTAGCTCCACACTGCAAAAAGTTTGAAATAGTGTTCAAATCATTAAGGTCCAAATAGATTCATTCCCATTT